ATTGGCAGAAAATGCTCTTGGGAAAAGCGGAAAGTAGTTACTAGAACATTAATCATTAAAATATCTATAATCATCAGCACTAAATACTGACATGTATTTGTAAATGGTACAGTGATAAGTTCACTTGCCTGATAATTCAGCCTTTAAAATCTGTGTTAGATTAATCTATAATACTTCATTAAAAGGTTCAAAGCAGTCTCAATTATTAAGTTGATATAAATATATATAAATACAATATATATATGTGCATTGATGTGAAGTTTATTTTCTGTGCTGTTTTTAAACTTTCATTTCTGTAGACAACATGAATTCTTATATCCATATTTTGGGACTTTCTGTAGATTCTCTATAAAGCAGTAGATGTTTAAATCTGCTTGCAATAAAATAAAATTTACATATTTGTCTTGGTGTATTGTGTACCAGTCTGCAGGCATGAAGTTCTTAATTTAGATAGGAATTTTTAAAATTGTAATTGTCTGAATTACAATTTAATTATATTATGCTGAATGCATTTATACATAATCAGATTTTACTATTGTCTTTTTTACTGTTAGGGTAGAAAAAATGAGAGATAGTTTCGCCTCTAAGAATTAAGAATTAATTTTAATCAGTTATATAGTAATTTAGTACATGCCAAATACAAGGAGAATGAGAAATTTAATGAGTAAAAGTTTTTTCTTAAAAAAAGTCTAATGCTCATACTATTGCAAAACTTTTACTATTCAGAAATCAGTCCTCATTTTACTATTTGTTGAATAAGAAATTCAGATTATTTTGCAAGGGAATATAGTACAATACTATGCACAGACTGAAAGAATGAAAGTCTTTCAAATGAAAACATTTTTGGATTGTTGCAATCAATAAATAAATAACTTAAAAATACTCTTTTAGAGTCAATATTGATAAGCCAACCTATTACAGTAAGGACATAACCAAATGTCATTAGGACTTACAGATATAGCATGATAGTTACAGTGACTGGTTAAGGAACATGCCTGTTTTGCTAGTTTTACTTTTTTAAATTTAGCATTAGTTCCTTTTTCTTATAAAGAATTAAATAACAGTGTCTTGATTGGCACAGGAGGGAAGAAAGCTCCGCTTTTTAAAAAAAAGCCTGCATACCCACATAAGATGAAAAATAAAAAATGAATAAGGGAATTGAACTTATTTTTTTGAAGCAATTATCTTTTGGAGCAACTAATGGTTGATAGTAGAAAGCTTGACCATTCATAAAACTGCTGCAGATAGGGGCATAACTATTACAGGTAGTCCTTGACTTACGACCACAATTGAGCACAAACGTTGTTGTTAAATGAAGCATTCATTAAGTGAGTTTTGCCCCATTTTACGACTTTTCTTGCCTCAGTTGTTAAGTGAATCAGGCTTCTCCGTTGACTTTGCTTGTCAGAAGGTCTCAAAGGGGGAACATATAACCTTGGGGCCCAGCAAGGGTCATAAATATGAATCCGTTGCCAAGCATCTCTATTTGGATCACATGACCATTGGGACCCTGCAAAGGTTGTTACTTGAAAAACAGTCATAAGTCATTTTTCAGTGCTGTAACTTTGAATAGTCACTAAACGAGCTATCTTAAGTCAAGGACTACCTATATTAGATAACAAAATGTTACCTATTGTCCCATCATCTTTATTTGCATAGAAAATATACAGGTAGTCCTTGACATAAAATCATTGTTTAGTGACCAACACTACAACAGCCCTGAAAAAGTGACTTATGACTGTTTTTCACTTACGACCATTGTATTCCCATGGTCACATGATCAGAATTTTGCTCCTTAGCAACTTATTTATTTATGACAGTTTCACTGTCCTGGGATCATGGGATCACCACTTGTAGTCTTTCCTGCCAGCTCTTGACAAGAAAAAGGAACAGGGGAAGCCAGATTCGCTTAACGACTGCATGATTCACTTAACAACTGTGGCAAAAAAGTCACAAAATGTGACAAAACTCATTTAACTACCTTGCTTAGCAACAGAAATTTTGGGCTCCATCGTGGTTATAAATCAAGGATTGCCTCTGTAGGGCTATTTTGCCAGTTTCCTGCTTATATTGACTGCATAGATAAATCCAGATATTTATAAATTCTATATATTTTACCAATGCAAAGATGGGGCAGGGAGCGTGGTAGGCCTCAACAGGTATCTCTAATCACACATTAACGGGTAAGTATTTTGCTCACTACCCAAGCTTAATGTGATTCCAGTCAATTTACTGAACTAGATCAAGTCCCAGGGAAGATGCTCCCCGTATAATATCTAATATGCAATGGACAGTGTTCTATACTCAAACACATATGAGCCGCAGTGGTGCAGTGGTTAGACCTGCAGGCTAATTCTGCTGACTGCAGTTTGGCAGTTTGTATCTCACCAGGCTCATGGTTGACTCAGCCTTCCATACTTCCGCAATCAGTAAAATGAGGACCAAGATTGTTGGGGGCAATAGGCTGACTGTGTAAACCGCTTACAGGGGGCTGTAAAGCACTGTGAAGTGGTATATAAGTCTAAGTGCTATTGCTACATTATGGAAGATACCAGGCAATCTAACATCCGCTGTTTCAGAATACAACTTCTACAATTCCAAAGTACAGATATTCCTCGACCTACAACAGTTCGCTTACTGACCATTCAAAGTTACAACGGCACTGAAAAAAGTGACTTATGACCATGTTTTACACTTATGACCGTTGCAGCATCCCCACGGTCACGATTCATATTTATGACATTTGCAGTGTTCTGAGATCACATGATCTCCTTCCTGCCAAGCAAAGTCAATGGGAAACCAGATTGACTTAACCATGTTACTAATTTAACAACTGTGGCAATTCACTTGAAAAATGTGGCAAGAAAAGTTAACAACACTTAACAACATAAATTTTGGGCTTAATTGTGTTCGTAAGTTGAGGACTACTTGTATTGGCTAGACTGGTTAAGGGCTATCAAAGTTACAATCTAACACATCCAGCTAGCCCTTGGCGGCTTACATCTAAAATACACACAGCCTTGGTCGGATTCAGTCATGCTGCAGATGGAAAAATCAAAGCACCTGGCTAGCATTGTCTGGGCTTGAAATCCATGCAATCTTCATGCCCAATAAGCAGAGGGGAGTCCGCCAGGTGGTAGTCTAGACTTGGCACTCAAAAGAAACATCCTGGAGGAAGGCAGCAGCCAGCTGTGTCAATATTTCTACCCATAAAACTCCATGGACATTTCCATGAAGTCATCTGCAGTTAAGCAGATCGTTTCCTCTGCTCCATTTTTTTTATGGCTGAACTTTAGGACCCTTACAGTGACATTTCCATTCAATAGAACATACTCATCATATTGATAAAAATAGATCACTGCTCGTTTTTCTTGTGCCGCCTTAAAATGGTATGGAATGGACTCATTAACCAGGCCACTCATACACATCTAATCATTGAGCAATTAAGTCTTAGTAACCTTGTGCCACCAGACTTGAAATTCTAGACTAGAAAACCTAGAACTACGCCGCCTTCGGTCCAATCTAAATATAGTATATAAAATCATACATTGCAATGTCCTACCTGTCAACGAATACTTCAGCTTCAACCATAACAACACAAGAGCACACAATAGATACAAATTCAAGGTTAAACCGCACCAAACTTAATTGCAGGAAATACGACTTCAGCAAGAGAGTGGTCAAGGTGTGGAATACTCTACCTGACTCTGTGGTTTCTTCCCCAAACCCCAAAAACTTTAACCTTAGACTGTCTACTATTGACCTCACCCCTTTCCTAAGAGGTCTGTAGGGGGCATGCATAAGCGCACCAACGTGCCTACCATCCCTGTCCTATTGTTTCTTTTTGTTTTTCTTATATGTATCCATTCCATGTATTCATAACTATGTTTATACTTATACCTGTTATCTTGTAAGGGATTGACAAATCAAATCAATCAATCAGTAAAACAACATTCAAAGGGACCCATGCAGGGCAGCATCTGTATTTCAGTTCTGATCCTCAATCTGGAACGTTGATGGATCAGGCCTGGCAGAAAAGACTTTACATTTTGTAGGGCAGATCTTGAGAAACTTCCCCCTCGCCCCCCCCCCCGCCCCCGCTTAACAGCGACTCTCATCCAACAAAGGCCAGCCTGCAAATCTGGGCAACATAAGGACGGGGGGGAGGGCGGGCGCGAACATATAGCTGCGTCGGCTCCGGCGTCCCACTGAGCTCATTCAGCTCAGTCCTGGGCAGGCTTATAAAAACGCAATCCTCTTAAGCCGCCATCCAGAAAAAGGACCAGCGGCTGTGAGGGAGACGCGGGAAAGGAAAGTGGGGAAAAAAAAAAACACTCGCAAAAGGGAAACAGCCAGGCTACCGGTCCGAAAGGCGGGTTTCATCGCCCTTCGGGCCTGGCAAGTGACAAAGGTGTTGAGCTGCAGCATCCCGCCTTTCTCTCCTCCGCCTCTTCTTTTCCTTCAGTCCGGGCCGCGCAGCGTTTGAGGGGGAGTGGGCGGCGCTGAGCGCAGGCGGAGAGGCGCGTGTCGGGCTGTGAAATGCTGTTCCGCCCCCTCCGCCTCTCCCTCCCTCCCCACCTTACGAGGCGCCGGTTCCCCTGGAGGGGAGCAGCCGCGGACTGAAGGAACTGGCCGCAGAGAGCCGGGCAGGAGAGGCGACCGTTGCCGGGAGCGCCTTATTGGCTCCATTGTGGTCCGGAGAAGCAGCGACGCCAGCAACCCGCCGCCGCCGCCTCTTCTCCCGGGGCGGGTGGAACTCAAGGAATCAGCCCGACAGGTGCGTGAGATATGCGTGTGTTTTTGTGTGTGCGTGCGTGTTTCTTCGGTGGGGCGGTTCCTCTCTCGCTGCTGCGTTGCCAAGGGCAAAATTGAAATCCCGGTTTTCTCCCGCCCTCCGCGGCTTCTTTCGCCGGCTTGGTAGAAGGGAAGCGGCGTTTAAGGGGCGGGGGGGCGCGGGAGATGCGCGGAAGTTTCTTTGGCTTTGACCTTCTTGGCTCGAAAACGGCATCTTGGGGCGCTTTTAAAATCCAGTCCCATATCGGGGTGAGAAAATGTTTGCGGAGGCCGCCCTGCTTCCAAGGCCAGGCGCAAGCATGTGGTGGGAATCGTAAACATGGTTGTGTGGACCGTTTGATGCAACTGTGCGGCTAATTCCAATTGTGTAGAGCTCTGCATTTGGCCTTTGGGGCGGGCTGGGATGTGTGCGACGAAAGCTCTGTAGGTTTTGGAAGGGGAACAGTTCTGCTCAAGGCTCATATCTTGAATTACGAAAAGGTAGCTCTGGACTGAAATGCGGTGCCCTAGCCTCATGCTTATTTATGAAAGTATGATAAATATTGTGGGAGGCTGGCTTTTCAACTTATGTATTAAATAGAATTCAATTAGGAACAGTTGGTAAAAATTGACACACGCACACCCCCCAAAATGAAAAGAAATGAGATTTCATTCCCAATTATGGTTAATGATTGCCCTCTGGTTGGTTCTGTTCCCAGGAATAGGAATATTAGCAGCCCAAAGACTCCTGTGGTTAAATATTAAATTAGCATTTTGGATAAGATGACAACATAATACAGTTGTACCTCCCCATTGCAGACTTGATACAAAAGTGAAACAAGGTGTACTTGCTTATAGTCTTTACTTAACACAACTCCTAAAATTCACTTGGCAGAATTCTTGAAGTCTGTTGTGTGTATGATCTATAGAAATGAAACTGTAACATCATGCTATCTTCAGTTTAATCCCTAGTTGAATAAAGTACAGATTGATGAGAGAAAGGAGAGAGATCATTTGTGGTTTCAACATCACTTCAGTCTTCAAACATTTGAAATTGATTTTCCTTTTGTTCATTGTAACAGACAAGAGTGGGATACATTCACAGTTCCCTTCAGAAAAAATAATTGGAAAGTTGCAGTGGAACAAGTGACTCCAACATTGCTTACAGTAAGACTATTATATCATTTGATCAAAGTATCGGATAGATGAAAACTATTTTCATATGTATATAGGCTTAAGCTGTAGTATCTCAAGGTACAGACAGAGAATGACCTACAATGGAGAAATGTTGTGTGTTATGTCTAGACCTGTCTGTACAGTTAGCTTAACAACTAATTTATGACAGAACAGAACCAAATAACAGAGTCGGAAGGGACCTTATAGGTCATCTAGGCCAACCCCCTACCCAAGCAAGAGACCCTATACCAAGGGTGTCAAAAATGTCCTGAAATATCATGTGATGGCAATATGGCACGATGAGTTTGACACCCCTGCCCATATACCATTTCTGACAAATGGCAGTCCAGTCTCTTCTTGAAACTTCCAGTGATGAAGCTCCCACAACTTCCGAGGGCAAGCTGTTCCATTAGTTGATTGTTCTCACTGTCATAAAATTTCTCCTTGTTTCCAGGTTGAATCTCTCCTTGTTCAGTTTTCATCCATTATTCCTTGTCTGGTCTTACTGTTTGTCCTCAAAGTTACAACTGCTACATTTCCACACACATTATCCAGTTTCAAGCATTGACAAACAGATCGCCTTTATGACTGGTTGCAACATGTCACAGTCATGTGACTGTGATTTGCAACATTTTTGCTGTTTTCCAGAAGAAAATATCAAAAAATGCCCACTGGATAGACTGGATTTGTTTAACATGTTTGATTAACAAACATAGTGATCCATTTTACAATAATTGCTGTCATAAAATTGAGTCTTTGGTGACCCACTTAATGACTGTCAGTTGTCTTTAAGAGACAATTACCTGTAACAGAATTAATCTTCAAAAATCCAGTCCACCAATAGAGCTGGAAATATATTCCCTATAAATTCTTAGAAAAATGTTTGTTCTGATAGGATTATCATACTAGCTGAATTGGTTTTTTATTTTAATTTTGCTCAGCATAGCATTTTCCAATGAAAATTATGCCATGTTGTATTAACTTATTCTATAAATCTTGAATGTAAATCTTTCTTGAAAATAAGTACTGGCAAAAATAACAAACAATTAAAAGTATATTACTGTACCTTGGCATTCATATAAATGCTAAATTGTGGAGAATGGAAGAGCTGTCAGAGCTGAAGAAGTTTCTTGGATGAGAAGCAACATGTCTTCAAAGAAAAAACCAAGACCAGCTGCCTCCTGAAAAAAACACCTTTGGGACAGCCATGACCTGGATGACTGACAATCTCTACAGACTTTGACCTAGGAATGAGATTTTCTGTCCATAAAATAATAAGAAAAATATTAGAAACATTGCAATTTTTTTTTAAAAAAATCTTTGTTTGTTGCACTTCTAATTGGAATTAATCCAGCATGTTTAACGAAACTCATTGCCGTATAAATATGCAAATGAGCCTGGAGTCCCATGCCTATCTATTTGGAAACATGTTCATTTAAATAGTTGCATTTAATTTTTTCATTAAATAGCTTTGGTAATTTGACTTCCTGGAGTAAGTCCCAATTGTTGAGATTATAAAAAATATTTCATATGCTAAATTTCAAATACGAGGTAAACTCGTATTTGTAGGCATGAGGTAGACAGTCTTACCTTATGCCTACAATAGGGACCAGAAAATTCATTGTTAAGGTGCAGTTATTAAGTAAGACAATGGCTTCCCCGTTGGCTTTGCTTGTTGGAAACTAGCTGTGAAGGTTGCATATAGTAATCATGTGACTGAGGAACACTGCTGCTCTCATAAATGTGCCAAGTTCCTGAAATCATCATCACGTGATTGTGGTGATGTTGCAACAGTCATAAGTCAAGGACTGATTGTGTTACTTTTTTCAGTGCCATTGTAACTTTGAGTGGTCACTTATCAAATGGTCTTAAATCAAGTTTTTTCTGTATATTTAGACTCCCAATTTGATTATTCATAGAAATGTTTTAAAGACAAACAGCAAAGGAATGAAATGATAGCACTTCACAGTTGCATTCATATTCATTGTTCTTTCCCCATCTGCTTGAAAAATATGCAAAGTCTTGATGTGATTCTCAATTAAGCTTTCCTTTCAACTGTTCAGCTATTTAGCTGGATTGTCGCACTGAAAAACTTAAATTCTTCTGCAAGGGCTTTTTAAAAATGCAAATGTTTATCAAGAGGAGCAAAATGCCAGAGAATTACACTGCTTTTATTTTTTTGTATAGCGAAAGGATTGCACAAGCCTGCAGTTTCAGTACATTTAAAGAGAGAAAATGTTTTTTGTAATATTAGTAGTATTTGTTTTATGTTACTTGTGGTTCTTTAGATTTGGAACCTTTAATTTAGTTCATAACATACATGCACACAGTTACAACAGTGAAAAGTAGAATATTTATAATTAAAAACAGTACTTTAACCTTTTAAGTCACCTTGATCAAGCCCATTCAATAGCTCCTTGCCTTGCTCAGTACAGACCAGAATGTATAACTGAATTCAGCAGGAAACCTTGTTAGATGCTGTGTTCTTGAGCATAAGTGGAATGCTAAGAAAATACTGAGTAAATAAGTATCAATAAGTCCCATTCAAAAAGAAAAATGTTCTTAATATTGTTCTGTTAAATGCAGAGGGCCAGCTTTTTAAGCCAAATATCAATGACTGTCAGCAAATATTTTCTGATCCTTGAAGTAAATAGATGTAAATACTTTAGTAGATATATTCAGAAATGCATAAGATAGGAAACCCTGTTAAAATTACATTTGAAAAGAAAGGAAGTTACCCATTTTCCAACAGAAACTCATTTTTATAAAAATAAAATGAAGACAGACAGGAGATACAATATAAAAGTCCTTCCCCTTTTTGTATCTCTTGTCACTTGACCTAGTAGTCCAAAAGCTCATTGGATGATCCAATTTCCAGAAGTATTTTTAACTGTGATCTAGTTCACAGGTGTCAAACTTGCAGCGTCACGTTGCCATCATGTGATGTTTGGTAACGTTTTTTCCCTTTGCGGAGCTGGGGTGGGCATGGCCTGCATGTAATGCATCTGGTCCGTAGGCTGCCAGTTTGACATCCCTAATCTAGTGATTCTAGTGATCTATCTAGTGATTGGCAAAATGTCATAAATATCATTGATAAAGACAGAATGTGGTGTTTAGTTGATGAAAAGAAAATACATGAAATTAGAGAGAACATATTCAAATTGCCCTTTATCTTGGTGGTGATTCTGCCAAGAGTTGATGTGGTCTGCTTATGTCATTCTTAGCAGCATTTTGGGAGTGTTTATTATTACAGTTCTCCTGGGTTTGGGAGCAGTCTGGTTTAAGAATGCTGAGAGTGTATTTTTCTCTCCTTTTTAAAATACCGCTGTATTAGTTCCTTGCCTTCATACCAAGGACTAATAAACGAAAAGGGAAATGCAAAAAAAAAGTGAATTAAAGAAATTCTACATCTTTTAACAGGGGTCTTTTCACTTAGAAAAGTACACAGAGTAAGATTGGGAATTTGTAGCCCCGTTATTCTAGAATTGAAGATCACAACCTCCGTATACAATGCTGGGAATTATATATCAATAATTCCTGTTAAAGGACAGAGTTCCCAGCTTTTGGGGAATTCTCAAGATTACTGGATGTTTGGGCAGGGGTGGATATTTGTGTATCTCCTGCCAGTTTATCAAGGAGGTTTCATCTGCTGTTTCATAATTGACACAATATGCTAAAAACAATTTCATGAAAAGGAATTCTGCAGTTAACAAAGTACGTGATTCACTACAGAGTGAAAAATGTCCAGCTGTTGCTCTTTTGCCTGAAAATTTTATTTGGTAAAGATTTTTTTTTATTAATTACAACTATTTGTATGCTGCTTTCTTGTATGAATTACAATAGATATAGATTATAACATCTATGAAAACTGATCTATTTTCAGTTGTTATTCCCAACTGAAATCCTTTTTGGCAGATGTCCTTTGGAAATGGTTTGTTTTTACCAGCCTTATAAAAGAAGAAAGCTTGGGAGCTGACCTCACCCCCAAAGTGAGAATGCATTGAGAATGCACCCAAAGTACCCTCTACTCTACTGCATAGATCACTTAGAGTAGTTCAAGAGATTGTGCCATGCCTAAGAAATAAAAGGAATATCAACCACCAGCCAATAATGACATCTGAAACAGGCTTGTAAATATTCTGGAAAAAGGGATAGACAATTTTCAATGAAATTCTGCCTTAGAAACTGATTAATAATGGAGAGTTCCATCTCAATTCTCAACATTGTGCATTGTGACCCCTAATTTTTGGCAGTAAAACTCATTAAAACATGTATGAATTTTCCTTCCTCGATTGTTTCCTGGAATTCATCTGTGCAGATGAACCTTGAGATGTTTCTTAGGGTGCATATCACATAGTGCAACTACCACAACATATAGGTTTTCCCTCTATTCTTGATGCAACCATTAAAGTGGCCTCTGTTATAAAAGATAGAATCACATGCTCCAATGGGCTGTCATTGTGGATTAAAACAGCTTATTTTGCTTTGTTTTCCTAACTGCAGGAACTTGGAGTTAGACACATTTTCATGTCTAACTACTGGAGGCTCATCCTCTGTAAGGAAGCTGGAAATTGCAACTGTTTTTCAGCCGACAGCCAGCCTAATGAAGAAAAAGATGATACAGAACATCGCATTGTGGTATCAGACATCCTGCAGCTTGTGCAAGATAAGCAGAAGGTACCTGCAACACAGCCAGGTATGATGTATTGCTGATTGTTACATCTTGGAAACATAATAGTTGAAGTGGCATTTTATTTTATTGTAAAGCTGTCTGAGATTAAAAGTGGGTGCTTGCATGACAGTAAATTTTACTGATCAGCATTATTTGTTTTCTTTTGGAATAAAGCTAAAATAATTCATGAATTCAACACATAATATTCCAGGAGTGAGATGCTTTCTTTGCTTGTATCAAAGGCTTTAACTATCAGAGGCAAACTGTAAAAAAGTCTGGCTAATAGCCACATAGCAAGAGCCCTTTCTTTTGGAAAAGAAGTGGTGCTATAATTCCTATCTTCATAAATTTGAGGAGCTGTTAGACAATAATGGAGCAGATTTGTTTTTTTGCTGTTCACTGCAGTGGGATACAAGCCAGGCGTTCAGAATAAAAGCTATTCACATTAAAAAATTGTCAGTGTAAAGGCTATTTGGGACACTTCTCAGTCTTTTGAGTCTATCTCCTTCACTGCCAATTAAATAAAAGCTGATATTTTTTGCAGGGATGGGTGGTTTGCAGACCACTTAGGCCTGCACCCCAACACCTCAGACATGGCATTGAAATTGGGCAGCAGAATTTGGGGTACTTTCTTCTTCTTCATCTTCCTCTTCTTTTCTCTCTCTCCCTCCATCCCTTCCCCTCCCTCCTTCCCCCTCCCTCCCTGCTTATCCATTTTCTGCATCTCATCATTGAAATCTTTCATGAGAATATTGAAGACAGGTTGATTCTGTGATACTTCATTTGATATTTCTGTCCAGTTCAAGAACTGAACAGATGGATTTCTGATGGATGCTGAGTTCAGTTTTGAAGTCCGCTATATATCCATTTAATTGTCTTGCCATGCAGCCAAACTAATTAGCATATCATGGGGTATTTATCAAGTGCTTTGCTCAAGTTAAGCACGGTCTATTTTATTTCCATAATCTATCAAAGAACTACCCAATTAAAAAAACAGAATTAGTCTTGCAAGATTTAATCCTGGTAAATGTTCTGATAATTACAGTATTATTTTCAGGGTGCTTGTAAATACATTTATTTGTGATCTAGTCTAAAATATCTCTGGGCAGCAATCACAGACGGGATAGTTTGTAGTTTTCTGGAATTTGTGTGTTTCCTTTTTAATAGGGGCAGAATTTGCTTTTTCCAGTAATATTTGGCTTTTTTCCTCAAGGAGTTACAACAGGTAGTCCTCAACTTATGATCACAGTTGAGTCCAAAATTTCTGTTGCTAAGCGAGACAGTTGTGAGTTTCATCCCCATTTTATGACTTTTGTTGTTATTTTTTTAAGTAATCACTACAATTGTCAAGTTAGTAACATGGTTATTAAATGAATATGGCTTTCCCATTAATATTGCTTGTCAGAAGGCCACAAAAGGAAATCACATCATGGGATGTCATAAGTATATCCCAGTTTCCAAGTGCCCAAATTTTGATCATGTGACCATACGGATGTGGCACCATCGTAAGTGTGAAAAATGGTCATAAGTCTCTATTCAGTGCCATTGTAACTTCGAACAGTCACTAAACGAATTGCTGTAAGTTGAGGACTGCATACTATTCTTTCATTTTCCTTTTGTTTTGAATATATCTAACAAAACTCTTTTTGTTATTTTAATATCCTTTGCTAACTGCAGTTCATTCTGACAATTTGCTTTTCTGACAACAGCTGTACAATTATAGACTACCTATCTGAACTGTTCCTTTGTGACCTGATCTTCTTCCATTTCCTGCACATGACTTTGTTCTTGTTTTTAAATATTTGCTAAGTTATTGAAATTCTTTGCAGTTGTGCTTTTAATATCTACCCCTTTAGGAACTCCCACCATTCTTAGTTCCTTTTCCTACCACCCTTTCCTGCTATAGAATTTTACTTACCATTAAACCAGTTTATTAACATTTGAGCTACCTTTGAAGATGCATATTCTGACTATGCTCAGTTTAATTTCCTCTTTAAAATCAGGAACTCTCTCGTTAGATGATCATTTTCACTCAATGTTTTGCTATTTCTACTTATTAAATTAAATCTTCTATAGATAAACATCTTGCTGTTGTCTCCATCCTCTGAATAAATTTTCAGCAGGCAATTCAATAAGCTTCTGGAAAGACAATATTTGATTGAGCTAGTTAGTTTTTGAAATCTCCGTTGATTATGATCACAGAAAACAGCTCTTTATTCTGTGGCCTTCTAGAACATCATGAATGTGTATCTTCTTATTCCCATTGACTTGGTATTAGATATTTGGGCAAATACAAAACCCAGAAACTTTCATGTGTCCTTTCCTAATGATATAATTTCTTTTTAGCATAGATGTTGGCACTTGTGATTATCTGATAGATTAATTTCTGCAGCTAATCAAACTTGTCATATTATTTCTGGGGGTGGGGGGAGGATATTTTGTATAAAATACTATTATGTTCCATTGTCCTCTAGAATCTGAATCTTCCTTATTTATTCTAAGCAAAACTAGTATTTCCAATAGTACTTTGTTAGATTTATTAGGTATCAAAATCTAGACTAATAAAATAGCATGTGATAAGCAGTCTTGTCACAGGATGTGGTAGCTCAGTGGTTAAAGACAATGAGCTTGTCAGCTGGAAAGCTGAGAGCCTGGGTTTGAGACCCCAGTGCCACACTATAGGGTGAGGTCCCATTACCTGCCCCAGCTCCTGCCCATCTAGCAGTTCAAAAGCATGCAAATGCAAGTAGATAAATAAGTATCATTTCAATTGGAAGGTAACAGCTTCCCATGCCCCTCAGCATATAGACACGTATCTTCGGATTATGCTAGCTTCCTTGGCTAAGAAACAAGTGAGCATTGCCCCCTAAAATCGGACATGAATGGACAGGGAAAACCTTTACCTTTACTTTTAAGCGGTTTTGTACAAGAATATAGTGCTAAGGCATAAGGTAGTCCTTGACTTACAACCATTTGTTTAGTGACCGTTTGAAATTATAGTGGCTCTGAAAACAGTGACTTATGGCCATTTTTCACACTTACGACTACTGCAGGATTCCTATGGTCACCTGATCAAAACTCAAGTGTTTGGCACTGTATTTATGACAGTTGTACTGTCCTGGAAGGGGTGGGGTCATGTGTTTTCTCCATTTAGGACCTTTCCAACCAGCTTCTGACAAACACAGGCAATGAAGGAAGCAAGATTTGCTTAAAAGACCACATTATTCACTTAACAACTGTAGTGATTTGCTTAACAACTGTGGCAAAAAAAAGTTGTAAAATGGGGCAAAACTTGACAACTGCCTTGCTTCAACAACAGAAATTTTGGGCTCAATTGTGGTTGTAGATCGAGGATTACCTTTATTCATAAATTGAGGAAGCTAAATGAACATAACCTACATTATCTTTTTAAGGGACAAAGTGGCTAATTCTAAAACAAACTTGCTAGCTATAATTCAATTAAACATCCTTTACACATTCAAGAATGCCTGGTGGTTAAAGGAAACATTAATTGACACCAGCTTCTTGAAAGATAACCACCCAAAGAGATTGGATATAAAAAAAATGGTAAGCTATAATGAGTTATTAGATAACAAAGGGAAACTCAAAACGAATAAGGAGTTGAGGGAGCAAGAAATTATAATTGATTGGTGGCCATATTTACAAATACAGGATAGATATTAAAAAAAACTAGAGGAATTTGGATTTGATAAAGAACAACAATTACAATTTTGGTTGGAACAGAGAAAAATTTATAGCTAAAACATACAAATATTTATTGGAATTTAACATGGAAGAAGAAATTGTACAAGATTCCATGATAGCTTGGGCATGAAACTTTGGATATAACATGTGCATGCGCATGCAAACCCCCCGCATGTTGCATGCCTCTGCGCATGCAAGCGCATCTTCCACGTGTGCATCTCCCATGCGCATGCGCGGCAGATACCCAACAATCAGCTGGCTGGCACGGGGCGCATGCGCAGTGGGGTTCTTCCAGGCGACCTCTCACGTGCCAGCAGAAGTGGCTCTGCGTGCCACATCTGGCACGCATACCATAGGTTCGCCATCATGATTCTATAAGGAATTTCCACACAAAATATGATCTTAAATATGAGATTAAATTTGTATCCCTGCTGATTATTGATTTGTTAATATAAACAGTGTACCTTCATAAAATTGCAAAGATAGGATTGTACTTATGATTGGAAATTTATACACTGTTAGATTCTAATTGCATATAATCTAAATAATGATAGGGAACGTGTACTATAATATATGTATCACTTAGTTAAAAATGCAGATCACATTTTCACACAGCAGTTAACGTTTTTAGGTTATGCAAATTTTGAGGCTATGTTTATATATAAGAGTGCATGCACAGAATTGAAGATGATCAGCCAAATCCAGTAAAATATATCTAACTGGATAGTTTTCCCCTATGGAAAACTAGAATTTTCCCTGACTAGGTACATTTTAACGTATGTCCTGTAATTAATTTGGAACATTATAAAGCAAAAATGGTTATATTGTCTTTTATGTAGAAAACTGTAGATCAATGGAGTAGTCTGCTTTAATAATCAAGTATACATTGGAGAATGAACAAAAGAAAAAAAAATCATCAAAGTATTTCTGTTTTGAAAACCACATAGCTAGGAGGAACTTGGAGGTCATTTAATACACCATCAGTATTTGCATCTGTGATATAAAATTTCAGAAAACTATTCTAGCAGATGGCTATCCACTTTTTAGTCTTTGCTTAATTATTTTCATGAAAGATAGTTGTATCTTGTCTGCTCTTATATCACATGAATCTTATTCTTAGGATGTTTCTCTTCTCCTTTAGGTAACATCTTACTTCCTATAGTTTTACTCATTTGTCCCTTGTCCTATTCTGCAGAACATTCTATAGTATATTCCTTTGCTAATCTTTCTGGTCAATACAGGTACTCATCGACGTACGACCACATTTGAGCCCAAAATTTCTGATGCTAAGATATTTGTTAAGTGAGTTGTGTTCCATT